TTAATTATTGCCCAAGCAGCACTGAAAACAGGGACCCCTCCATCCTCAGCTAAGAAGAATTTAACCTGCCATTGTCCTCTTCCAGGTACACTTACACTTAATACCTTACACTACAGATACTGGTACAATCTATAGGTGAAAACTGGCATCCTGCACCTTACAGCTGCAGCAACTACAAGCACAGGGAACACAACACTGTGAAAAGAGAAATTTAAATAAATAAATAAATAAATAAATAAAAGGAGCCCAGCTCTTGCCCCGTGGTTAAGAATGGGAAGTTCTTCACTCTCATCTGTGCCCTAAGGATGATTTTTTCCCCCCATTAGATGGTAAAAGTGAGTTTTTTTAATGCAGAAACAGTTCAGGGAAGTGAGTAACTGCACTTGCCTTCCCCAGTTCCCAATCTCTTGGTTAAGGATCAACGACACATCTTGTCCTCCCACGGCAGCAGTCTGTCGCGTAGGCACATCTTACATCACTTTGGTCTTCAAGGGAGCACAGGATCCCAAATCCCCCTGAGAACTGTCATCAGTGAGCAAAGCAACGCGCCTACTTTTCAATGGAGATCACCTTATCAGATAAATTCTGACAGGCATCCCCAGCTGATGCGTGCAGGCTCTTCTAAGGCTGGCATTTCCTTTTTGTTCCCTGTGTTTACTTTCTAAGAAAATAACCTCACCCTATCAAAACAGCATCCAGTTAATTATATTTTCTCATTCAAGACTGACTGTAAAACAAAAAGATAGAAAGAAAGGAAAAATCCACCCCCCAGCCCTAAGTTTTAATTAAAAATCCAGGACCTCAAAGGTCGCTTAATTCCCATTATCTATTTATCACAGATAGGAGTCTAAATCCTACAGATTTTTAGCTGCTAGAGACCATCTTCCTAGGCTCTCATAAAAGATTTTTGAAAACCAAGAAAGAACTGGCAAAAAGCTTTGATGGTCCTTTGTTCATTGTTAACAGAATAAGTATAAAGAAATCTTTCTGAGAAAATCTGAGCTAGCTTGAGCTCCTTAAACACGTGGGACAGAGAAACAAAGAATTATTGCCCTTTGGAGACGGCATTATTTTGCTATGGAGTTGGTTCTGTCAGATGAAGTTTTATGACACATAGTGGCAATCATCCATCTTTGATGAGCAGACACACACTAAATCAGAAAAGACTGCTCCCCACGGATCATCAAGCCACAGTCAACACACAGTTGGGTAAATCATGAGGCTCTTAAGCAAATACTCTTAATTTCATGCAAGCTGGCTTACAATTCTGCAATATCTAATGCAAAAATCAGGTATTTTTACCTAGAATGATGAAAAAGAATAAAGTGCACTGAGAACAGGTGATCTTTGGGAACAAAAAAGCAACACTGCTAGTGAAAAACAGTTCGCTATGCGACATGAACAAGACAATCCAAGCGCACTGAGAAAGATGCACTGGTGACATCGCGGAGCTTCGTGACAGACCCAGATCCGAGACAAGATGTGATGTTTCACTTTTCAGTTATCAGGTAGGGTGGAAAACCTGTCTTACACTGCAGATCAATGCATCACAGATATAGAGGCCATAGCCCAAACCAATCTGTTGGGTTTCAGGGACATCAGTCCGACCCCTGCCTACAGTGCCCTGTAGCCTCTGGAAAGCCACAGACTGAAGCAGTTGGCAGGGGATGGAGTCAGTCATGAAACAACACAAAGCAAACATGAAAGGAGCCTCTGTCACGGACAAGAGTATTGCTATTTTCCAAAAATAACCACCTGTAACGCACAGATTCTCAGGCCCAGATCTGCATAGTATTTTATTCAGGATTTGTTGAGAGTCCATTCTGACTGGACAATGGGAAGAGGTAGTGGGCTGGATTTCTGATGCTTGCCGCATGCAGTAGAGTTTCTAAAGCATGAGATTCACTAGGATCAGCTACAAAAATTAAAACACACACTAATAATTAACTTGCCTTTTGAATAAATTGCGGACTGTTCTATAATGATTCTCTGGCCTCTTAGCTGCTGATTTCTATAGGGTGATGACATATACCATGGCTCGTCTCATCACAAAATATTATTACAAGTTGGACTCCATTCCGGCACATTAAAAACCATCCGGCCCATGGTTGCTGTGGGTATTTTGGTCTCATACACAAGGACACATCTGAGACCACCCCCCAAGAGTTCCAGTTTCAGGTCACTTCTCTTTCAAAGGCTAGTTTCCAAATGAATGATGGGGGTTTGTTTTCCTCCATCACAGATTTTTTTTTTTGTCACAAAAATGATTTATCTGTTGACAGCTAGGTTCACTGGCCCCAGGCAACTAATGTCAGTTGAAACCACTCAATGAAAAGCAGAGAACACTCCAGCAATTTAAAGAAAGGAGTAGAGGGGGAAGGTATAAATACCCTCTCCCCTAAGACTGCCTTTTAACTTTTCTGCTTGCTGTTGCAACCCTTGCTTCCTTGTAAATGCCAGAACTCCTGTACTAAGCCTGGAAGGGACAATGAGCACAAGCAGAGCCAGCTCCTTCAGGTGTTAAGTACATGTTTACTGTCGGGTTACAACACTAATTACAGCTCAGAGAAGGTAGACCAGACGGTGTGTGGTCTTAATAAACACTTCTCACTTTCACTATTTGTGAAGTCTCTTCTGTCAAAGTGGTATGATAATAACACTTGAAAAATACAAGATTGCGATTCAAAGTGATGGAGAATAGGTCTGCAGACAAAGTATTAATTTAAACACACCACCAGAGGAAGAAGACAAAATGCACTCGTGACATCCAGTGATAGGGATTAAATGAGGAGATGCACTAATGGCATCCACCACTGGGGATTTAATCAGTATCTGCTGTTACTATCATTCTGCACTCAATGAGAGGGACAATACTCTGAAAATAATTTGGAGCACCTCAGCCACACTCCTGCCCCTGCAAGTGTCTCCCTCTGTTGCACATCACAGGTGAAGGAGAAAAATAATGATTACATCATTTTCCTTCAAATTTTACTATAGAGACTGCAAACTCCTGAGAACAAGAACTGTCTTACAGTCCACTCTAGGTGGCCTCTTAGGAATTAGCATATTAATATGCCTAAACAAAACACCACTTAAAAAAACCCCCTCTCATATTAAGAAATCTATAAACTAATCATGAGTTTATTGACACAGAAGACATAGGAGGGATATTAGGCGCCACTCTGTACTTCCAAAACAAAGTGCATGGCTAAAATTAGAAGAATCTATATACATATGCACTGTATTATACATCCAATCCAGCCGAGAAGTCGTACAAATGTAACCTGCTGCTTGTTCAATGGCTAGATGTGATCACACATCTTTAATCTCCAAAAACAGAACAACAGCAGACCAGGGTTTTACATTTTTCCGTTTGAACTACAATCGTTGTCACAAGAGCCAATTTCACATTGGGCTGTTTCTTGTTCTTGTTGCAATTCATCACGAGAAGACATGAGATCTAAGGTACCTCAGCAAGGCATAGACCATGAATAATACAGCGCATTACTCTGACCTTTTCGGTTTGCTTTGTAGTGCGATTGGCCAGCCATTCCTGTCCTACTCTGTTAACCACCCCATTAACCTGGGAGGAGAGGGTGGAACGGACAGACAATTAGCCAGCAGAATACTAAAAAGGTTAACACAGGAGCACACAGCCCCGGCTTTCTTGAGCTTTAATGGGTATTGAGATTCTGAAATCTCTTTCCTCTTTCAAAGTCTGCAGGGAAAATATAAGAAATCGCACAAGATGAACTTTGTTCTCATTTCAGATTATAATCATGTAGTTCCTTTCAGATATCACACTTCGATGATTCTAGTTTATGCGTGAATAAACCAAGAAGAATGTTTATTTTTACCCCTCTCAATATGGAGAATAGTCAATTAGAGCAGTGAACTTTTTCTTTGAAGCTGGTCATTCTTGAGTAAAGGAAAATCGGAGAAAGTACAGGCAAAAAAGCTCCATACGGCAGTCGCCTTTAAAAAGGTCACACTTGCAAAGCTAACGATGCTAGCTGAGTCATTCCAGTCATCTCCTAGTCAAAGAGAGGAAATGGTGGGATTTTTGCATCCTGTGGGCTGTCATCTACAGAAAGCGTTATCTTGGTTTTCACCAAGGCTAGCAGGGTGGGTAGATCTCACACGTCTCAGGCACATGTAGAAAGTAAGGCACCGTAGGTCTCCATGGAGTTCCAGAAGTGCCTCGTGAAAGCAGCGGCCCTATTTCCCCTGTGTTTCCATACGTCTTTGTAAAAATCATCCCTTTTTTTTTTGAAAGATCACACCATCACAAATAACACAGTTCAGAGGCAAGTATCATAACATATTTGCTGAAGCTTTGGAGTAAAAAAACCTAATTTCAAGACTTCACCTGAGCTTCTTCACCTGTAAAGATTTTCTGAACGTTACCCTGGTGGTTCAGTTACGATGACCTGGGATAGTTTGGTTTTCAGATGCTGCCATATTCTTGCCTTTGTACAAGTGTGTTACTTTGAGTTACTATTAACAGCCATTATGTTAACTACTTATTTTAGACAGAAAAAGTTGGGTCAAAGAGGAAGGGACCTTCCCATTACCCATGAGAAAGCCAAATTTTACATTTATTATGGGTATTGACCACAATGATATAGAGTCTTTTTTATTATCTCACAGTAATAATCTTTATTTTGCTTAAGGTGAACAGTGATGTTCAGACAAGAAGAATTACTAACAAAGAAAAGATAAAGCTTTAAATTATAAGAATTACTTTCGTGGTTTCTCTCTGTAATACAT